CCTGGATATAAACTGCCAACAAGAAAAACTGTCAGGTTCATTACTTCAGGAATGTTATGTCAAAACTGAGCAAATTATTAGATCACAAGTTGTTAAAGAAGTAGAAAATATCTGTATTACTACTGACCTCTGGACATCTGGAGTAACTGAGAGTTACTTCCCATTAACGGGACAATATTTAACCGAAAATTTAGTATTTAAAACGGTTTTATTAGGCTGCTGACATTTTTCTGGAAACCATAATTCAGAAAACAGCCAGATTAGTGAAATTATTAATTAGTTTGGTCTAAAACGAAAAGTAAATTTTGCAGTAACTGATAATGCCTCAAATATGTTCAAAGCTATTAAAGATGTTTTAGAATGAAAACATTTAAGTTGTTTTGCTCATATGTTAAATTTATTGGTGGAGGATGCACTTAAATGCTGTCGTGTACAAATAGATAAAATAAAAAGTCCTTTTTTGACAATTCTCCAAAAAAAAATTAAAAAAAGTACTTTATCTTCAAAAAGGCTTTTAAAGTATTAATTACAACATAACTAAGTTCCCAAACGGCCAATCCAAGACGTGGAAACTAGGTAGAACTTCGCCTATTACATGTTAAAAAGAATGACCGAGTTAGAAGAGGCAATCCGTTCCACATCGGTATTAAATAATACAGACTTAAACGTAGACCAAATCTGAATAAAGAACACTGGATTATTTAGTGCACAATCACCGTTTAAAGAAATAACAAGTACAATGAGTGACCAAAAATACTTGAAGGGTAGTTCAGCGATTGTTATGGTATGCTGCCTGCAAGAATCTTGCAATAAAGTTTTAGCAAACGGTAACCTTACATCCATAGTATCCGACGTAGTACAATTACTAATATCGGGTTTAGCAAAAAGATTTAAAGGGATAGAACAGAGTGGCACATTGTCATTGTGTATATTTATGGATTCACCATTTAAAGTGCAGGGTTTTTCTGATAAAAATGAAGCTAAAAAAATAAAAGAAAAAGTTAAGAAGCTGGTTAATTCTATAATTAACGAACTAGAAGATTGTACTATTGAAAATCAACCAATACAAGAAAAAGAAACCAATAAAGATAACTTAAGTCCATGGTGTATTTTTGATCAATTAATTGGAGATGACTCATCTACACGTACACCTCTATCGAGAGTCCATTAGAACGGTCGAAAAACCATCGCCATGTATATCCTAACTTAACCACTATATTCATAAAGTATTGTCAATGTGAACACATGTTCAAAATCTAGTTTAATTTGAAATAAAAAAGAACACCGTTAATAAGAAGTAAAGTAGAAAAACTTGTGTTTTTTAATGTCAAGTTAGGCTATTCGCGATTTAATAATAACGTGTAATGTAAATGTAACTACGATTTACTATTTGTAATATTTAGTTTATTTTTCAAGGTATAATAAATATATCACTAGTTTCTTTCACTTCAATAAATATACACATAAACGATAATAGCCATTATGTTTGTTTATGTAGGTACTCTTTTACTTAAAACTACTTTGAAACAATCATAGTTACTTGTTTACCAAAATTTAAATTGTTAAATGCATTCATTTTTTTTTTGGAATCCTGAGAAAACTAACAACTATTTTAAAAAAATTTAAATGCAAAATGAAAGATTACATTATTACCAAGGACCGAAAGTCCCTTAGAATAAACAAAAAGTTTTTTGAATGAGATATTTCAAATTAAAAATCACACTAGTTTTTTTTTTCACCCCTATAACTTATTAAAATAAACATTATAGAAGTTATCAGGGACTTTCGGCTCTCGGTAATAATGTATTGTTTCATTCTGCGTTTAAATTTTTTAAAAATATTTATTAGTTTTCTCAGGATTCGAACAAATGAATGCATTTAAAAAATATTGGCCCGAAATTTTGTGCCTACGTTCTTAACGATAAAACTACCACGACCCACCTCTACTACTCGTTACTCGTTGTTTTGACCAGACCGTCGTTGTCAAATAATTATTGTGTATGAATATTTTTTAATAAGGCGTTATATATATATATATATATATATATATATATATATATATATATATATATATAATATATATATATATAAGTTATGATTTTTGAGGATGCAGTCAGTTTATTTGGCCCACAAGACAAAGAAAACTCTTTGACTTACTGTCAAGCTTTCGAATTTTATTTAATTCTTTTTCAAGACATCTATAAAAAGAAATATAAATTAACTAGTTAAAATTGTTAATTTTCTTACTTACTAGTCGTGAGATTACAGTTTTTAATATTGTACTCTACTAAACAAATATAATAAAAATTTTTTTATTAAAAATAACTATATTGTCATTATATATGTCACTGACATGGTTTGATTAATGGACATATATGAATGAAAATACAGTTACTTTATGTGGAAAGCAAAACCAGTAACAATAGTTTTTATTATAATTTATTTAATTGTCTATAAAAAATATAAATTAATCCAGTCAGCAGTTTGGCTTAAGCACATATGAATTTTTAATATTAGGATGTCAATAGAAAATGAGATTTTGACGGTATTTATTGATATGTTAATATGTAACAATAAATGTTACTTAATTTGTCAATATCTGATCTTCTATTTACACATTTTTTATTTTTTTGTATATGTGTCATTTCTAAAAATAACCGTTTCTGTTCATGTTTCTGCCTCTCTAGAATTGAAGCCTGTGAAAAATTAAATGTGTGATTTAGATTGATGGAATGTTCGGCTAATGCACAAGCTTGTGATTTCTTAGTTTTTACATCACTTTTATGAGAAATAATTCTGCTGTGTAATGTTCTAGAAGTTTCTCCTATATAAACTTTATCACAGTCTGAGCAAGGTATTTGATACACTACTCTAGAACTTTCATCAGTTGTTAAAGTTGAAAGTTCTAGAGTAGTGTATCAAATACCTTGCTCAGACTGTGATAAAGTTTATATAGGAGAAACTTCTAGAACATTACACAGCAGAATTATTTCTCATAAAAGTGATGTAAAAACTAAGAAATCACAAGCTTGTGCATTAGCCGAACATTCCATCAATCTAAATCACACATTTAATTTTTCACAGGCTTCAATTCTAGAGAGGCAGAAACATGAACAGAAACGGTTATTTTTAGAAATGACACATATACAAAAAAATAAAAAATGTGTAAATAGAAGATCAGATATTGACAAATTAAGTAACATTTATTGTTACATATTAACATATCAATAAATACCGTCAAAATCTCATTTTCTATTGACATCCTAATATTAAAAATTCATATGTGCTTAAGCCAAACTGCTGACTGGATTAATTTATATTTTTTATAGACAATTAAATAAATTATAATAAAAACTATTGTTACTGGTTTTGCTTTCCACATAAAGTAACTGTATTTTCATTCATATATGTCCATTAATCAAACCATGACAGTGACATATATAATGACAATATAGTTATTTTTAATAAAAAAATTTTTATTATATTTATTATGGTTTGTTTAGTAGAGTACAATATTAAAAACTGTAATCTCACGACTAGTAAGTAAGAAAATTAACAATTTTAACTAGTTAATTTATATTTCTTTTTATAGATGTCTTGAAAAAGAATTAAATAAAATTCGAAAGCTTGACAGTAAGTCAAAGAGTTTTCTTTGTCTTGTGGGCCAAATAAACTGACTGCATCCTCAAAAATCATAACTTATATTTAAATCAACAGTCAAGAATACCACCATCTTATATATATATATATATATATATATATATATATATATATATATATATATATATAACGCCTAATAATAATAAGGCGTTATATATACCCGTTATATATATATATATATATATATAATATATATATATTATATATATATATATATATATATATATTGACTAAGTGGCTAGTATATATTCTTTTCTGTTTGTTTTCACTTAAACTTCACATGTATATGTATAACTTAAAATGTAATATAATATAGTCAAAACAAATGTAGCTTGAATAAATTTTACTAGATTACAGTATGTATGAAAAAGATTCAATTAGTACCTTTTGGTTTTAGTATTCCGGACGGCATACAAAAATGTATGTCGCCTTTTATTTTGTATATCCGAAGTGCAGAGCTACGCACAAGTCAAATTTCGGCATAATTTTCACATATGTATGCAAAATAAGTATCCTTTTCGTATGATAATAGCTGTGTGTGACTTCTAACAAATCCTTACCATTTGTTAACCCAAAAATAGACCAGTTTGTGTTTATCCAAAAAAAAAGAAAATACCCAAAACGTCCAATAAACTAAAAAGTAATCACTTAACGATTAAAATTAATTGCTACATTGTAATGTATTGGCCATGTAATTAAAAACCCCATTCGCGATACTCATGTATTGCTAATTATCGCATTATATTTCAGTTAGGTTATAGGTAAAATAATTAACTAGTTGTGTTTGATATGTACTCAAATAAAGATTTGTTTTGGGTTCATCCAAGTATTTTTGTATCAAATATTTCATGGCGACGAGGATAAAAACGTTTTTAAATTGTGTATAAGTGAATACAAAATGTCGAAAGACGGGAAATTAGATTTATCGTTAAATTTGGAATTTAATCCCAGAATTTGTAAATGAAATGTGCTTATAAAACGACTATAATAATATTTCATCCCTAGAGAAATTACAGATGTTAATATTAAAAGAGCTATTTTGTTATATAGCCTTTCAGAAGAAGCTTATATCTTGTTATCCGACTTGTCTGTGCCTAAAAAACCTAAAGAATGCGAATTCAATGTCATTGTAAAAAGTCTAGATAGCTACTATAACAAAACTTGTTTAGTGTGAGTAGAAAGAGCAAAGTTTTATGGTGCTTCGAAAGCTAAACGTGAAAGTGTACGTTTAAAAAAAACTAGTCGGTACTTGTGAATTTGGAAATAATTTGGAAACGAAATTAACAGATATGTTTATTTCAAAATGTAATGAGGGAAAAGTAAAGAATACTCTATTTGCAATGAAGTCAAACATCACGTTTAATAAAGCTATGGTAACAGCACAAATTAAAGAAGCAGCAATAACTGGCATTACCGAAGTAGATAACAAAAGTGTGGTGAAAATGGAACCAGTAGAAGAAAGAGAAGGGTGTCAAATAATGAGTGGAAGTTGCAGTAAGGAAATATTGCAAGTATCACAGCGTGGGAATGCTAGAACACATCAACAAGAATGACGATTTAAGGAGACTAGACCTTTAATTTCAGGGATGCAGAGACATATTTCAAATTTTAATCGTGAGTTCAGTGGTAGTGTTCAAAAGTGTTTCCGGTGTGCTAAAAGACATCCGCCTTCAGTATGTCCCTATAAGGATTATATCTGAAATTTATGAAACGTTTGAGGACACTTAAAAACTGGTATATAGAAAAAGATTTTTAAATTTATTGGAAGAAGCAACTGAATCATCTGTATTGTGTATATCATCCAATAATGATCCGCCAATCTATATTGATATTAATATTAAAGGTAAAATGTTTAAATTTGAATTATCGGGTGCCGCGGTCTCTGTCCTACCTTTTAATATATATAACAAATATTTTAATACACAACCATTATCTCAAGTTATTGTATCGTTAGTTAATTTTTCGGGAGGCAAGATTCATCCTAAGAGCAAAATTAACTTACCAGTAACTTTTTCAAAACAAACAAATAATTTGGATTTTTATGTTATGCATCGAGAAACTCCAGCCTTGCTAGGTAGACATTTTATAAGGTTATAATATGGGTTTAAGGGAATTAAATGTTGTTGTAGCAGATAAAAATAATGAAATACTGGGGTGGTTAATGAAAGATTTTCTCACTGTAGTTTCTGACAAATTGGGCACATTTAATAAATTTCAGTTAAAATTTAATATTAAAGCAGATGCCAGACCTAAATTTTTTAAACCCAGAGTGGTTCCTTTTTTCTTAAGAAATAAAGTAGAGATGGAATTAGATAAAATGGTCAAGGAGAGCATTATATCTGCAGTTGAATTTTCAGAATGGGGAACATTACGGAATGGGTACCGATTTTAAAAAATGATGGAGGTGTTAGGATTTGTGGTGATTTCAAAATAACTATCAATCCTTTTATCGAAGCGGATAAATATTCGTTATCACGGATCGATGATTTATTTTCTAAGTTACAGGGTGGTCAATAGTTTTCTAAAATTGTGATTCATCCAGATTGTTGGAAATATACGGTTATTAGTACTCATAAGCGATTATTTATATTTAATCGTCTACCGTATGGAGTTGTATCAGGTCCATCCCAGTTCCAACGTATTATGGAACAAATATTTCTCAATATGAAAAGTATATCTATTTTTTTAGACGATATTCTAATCACAGGAAGGAATAGGGAAGAACGCACTAAGAATTTGTGTATAGTTTTAGCGATTTTACAAGAATGTGGTCTTACAGTAAAAAAAACAAAAATGTACGTTTTATGTAAAGCCACACATTATATAAACCAAACTTCTGTTGGTAAGTTTGTTTGTTCTTCTGAAAGCACCTTAATTTTAAAACACTTTTATAATACCATCTGATTTATTGTATTCCAATTATTTTTTCAACGAAATTTCATCAAACACCTACACACAAAAAAAAGTATGTAACCCAGTTATTAATTTTAGGACATGCAACCAGGTTTGAATTACTGTTTTTACTAAAGCCCACTTTAAACGAGTTTTGAGTAAAAACTGCATATTAAGTGTGCACATATTTATTTTTGTTTTATAATAGTACCTGCAACATCAATTTGATTGTCAATTTTATATTTTTTGTTCTTCTAGAAGGCTGACTGTTCTGTTGGCGTCACTTCTTCTTTAAAACAATTATTTGAAACTCTAATTTTTTGCCTTCTCCGTCAATTTAGTTTCAAGTTTTGTGGGAAAATTAATTACAAGACTGGAAATATCATTAACAGTACTACTTGATCTCTTAGGCAATGGAGTTGACCTAACTGTGCAATCGCCACTTGTAGATATTTTACGTTTCGTATTACAGTAAACGTTTGTAGAGCATACTGGAATGGTATTACCTTGAAATTTATCTGTAATTTTAAACAAAGCATAACAAACATATCCATTGATTCTGAAGTGATACTAGCAATGGATTCATACTTAAAATCAAAAATCTTTCCTGATTTAATCGTATAAAAAATATATAAATGACTTAATATTAACTGATTTTATGTAAAATATATTTTAATATAAGTATTATTCTTATTGACAAGACAAGGCGCTTTGGGCTATCATAAAAACATTTATGAATATATGATTACTTACCTGAATCAGTTGTTAACTTTGTAAATTTTTTACGAACAGCATTTTCCTTAATAATTTTCTTTGTAAATTTTAGACGAACAGCATTTTCCTTAATAATTTTCTTTGGCCACTTTGATAAATATGTTCCACTGCAAAATTATGCTCGCAAGTTACCCTCTGTTTCTAGTCACTGACATGCAGTATTACAATATCAATAATCCCGCAATTTTTTTTGCCAAACTTTTGTTCGCTTTTTTTTGCTAATATTATTTGTTCTGTTATTTCTTTTAAAACATCCAGCGTAAATACACTTACTCGTTACAGATGCCACTTTTTCTAAAATGTGAGTATTTTATGAAATTCCGCTTTAATTTATAACAACAGCACAATACGTAGCTCATAATATAATACACCCATAGGGTATTATTTAACCTAATCTAATCTAAATTATATGTTTCTAATGTGTCTAATAATAAATACGGATTGTATGTAACGACATAGTATTTTTGGTTTTTCTAACAATCTACTGTTACTCTTTGGCTACTTATAAATAATTACTATACTCTGTTTTTTAACCAGGAGGAGTAAACCAAAAAGACAGATTCACACCCAAGAAAGATACTAGAAAAAAAGTCACCAAATACATCTTCTTTTTTTGTTGATTATCTCGGCCTTGCGGTAATCGAGTATTCAATATCGGAAAAACTTACACACACGTCAATTTTAACCTCACTTTGTTTATTTATGTTTGAATAATATTTTTTTTCAATTCACTTTTAATTATATTACAATTATTGCAATAAAAAAAGAACGTTTTTCACATTTGGTCCCATGTATATATATTTAAATATCGTGTGATCCACTTTTATAGATCTCTGGTAGTTGAGTCTATGGTATTTAATTATAATTTGGAGAATATTTTGATCCGAATAGTCAATAATGTTACAGATCTAAGTATGGTTTTTCACAGAAACTTGTCTTTTAATTAGTAAATAGATCTTATATGCAACAAAACTATGCAAATGCATGTGTCAAAAAGTTAGAGAGGGTTAAAAGATTTCTGAAATACTGTTCTTTTAAACTGCGTAGACCATATTCTTATTCTGGTGTGATAAATTTCTTAAATCTAGTTTTTTTTCTTACCAGAAGAGTTAACTTTAACTTTGATAATTATTTTTAAGCTTAATAATCGAATCTCCTAAATTGCTTCAGCCAATTTGTTTTACAATATATTCCTTTCCGTTCACTGCTTCAAAATTGACTTTTTCATGTTTCCCATCACAGAATAAATTATGGTTCAAATATAAGTGTGGTCCTATCCACATATCACCTACCTGTTATTAGTGGTGTGTTATCTTTCATGCATGGTCATCAGTTACGTCGTTACATAGATTTGTTAAACTTATGTATCAATATTTTTAGGTTTTATTTGAAGCACTCAAATGCAAAAAGATACTTTGTATAAATAAGTGTGTACTTACAATTTCTTTAATGCTGGATTCTTGTTTAATTTTGACAGTGAATTTGTCCCATTTGTTATCAATAAATAACATTTCAAGAGATAATCAACAAATTAAATCTATTATGTTACATAAAGAACAAAACCAACTGTATCAATATAATCAAACTAAAATAAAAAATTACTTTACTAATGTTCTTATATTGTAATGAAAACAAAATAAAAATGTTTCTTAACAAGTATACACTAAATTTAAAAGATAGTTGCCGTTTTTCTTATGATAATTAGATACAAATAACATAAATTTATAAATTTATAAACACTTTAAACTATATTTAGTATAAATATCATCTATAAAAATATCATTAAATACTATTCGCATATCTCCAAGTCTAAGTTATTACAAACAACTTAAAGAGTCAGAAATCGATTTATTTATTAGAGAAAAATAATATACGGTACATAAGTAATATAAATTCGGGATGTACTTATCTAAAAATAAAAATTTAATAATTTTAGTAGTCTTCCAAAATATCTTCTCCATTTATGTCTTGGTGAGGTTCATGAACAACTTCACCATTTTGAATTTATTCATTTAGTTTTTTAGCAAAAACTGAATCTATTTGAGATATTTGAGCAAGAAAGTTTTGTTTTTTGGTCAGCAGCCCAATGTATAAACCATTCTTTGAATAATTTCACCTAAAAAATAACTATGGTAAGACATTCACAATATAGACAATAAATTAGTCATCCTATAAACAGTAAAATAAACAACCTGTAGTTATGATTTGCAATATTTGCTGCACTAAATCTGCTTATACGTAAAGTAAAAAATATTCTTTTTTTTCCTTTTCTTCCCTTTCCATGTTCTTATATCTGTTGAACCAAAATACTTGACAACATTCCAGTAGAGTATACAATTAAAAACTTAAAATTTATTTTTTTAATAACTTACTTTATGAGATCATTACTTAGTATACTCATCATCAAACATACCAAGTATAATATCTTTAAATGAGAACAGTGAAATGTAAGTGCATGATACTTAAAATTAAAATATTTGTACACTGGTATGTTTTCAAAAACATGTAACACAAAGGCTGTTGTACTTATGTCTATAAATAAGGAAAATTTAAGGAAACTTATTTTGATCAAATAAAAGAGGGGTACTATTGCAATCATTTCTCATGTAGCTCATACATTTTAATTACAAATCTATTTAGTGGTAACAATAATATACTTGATTATAAAAATGAAACCTATAAAATGTTTTAGATAATTTTACTATACAATTGTGGCTAACCCATATTTACTTACTTCAGATTGATTTGCTTCAATGTTAACCCTGTCACCGTTAGTATTACCATTTTACTTAAAGTGGCATTTCATTCTTGAAAAAGAAGCTGTGTACAGATGTTTGAACTCTTTCATCGTTAGAAGGTCGACCTTCAATATTTTTAGGACATCTTA